CTAGGCTTGGATCATGTAGGGCTTTAACACAAAGAAACTGGTTCAGAGCATCAGAACCAGTGAAAGATGGCCTTCTTCAGCGAGAAATGCGAGCCCTCACAGCAAATGGGGCAGGAGGGGAACAACTTCTGCAGGTCCCTGAGTAAATTTATTAGCCAGCTCAGTGCAGAAGATGATTGCTAATAGAACAAAGAAACATTCGGCCATCAAGGTGACCAAAAGGTCTCCTATGTGTGAAAGGAATAGGAGATTTAGAGTGAAGAAACAAATGGATGTAGATTCTGGAGAAGATCTTAAAAACAAGCAAGCAAACAACCAACATCTCTTTTCACCAAGAAAGCAAGCTTTCAGAAAACCTGAAATTCTAATTATGATCACTATCAAGAGGGACACAGCAATTTACTTGAGACCCATCTGACACGGTCTTGGAATAAATGGATCGAGTCCATTCATTTACTCCCTCCTCATTTATTCACGATTCATAAAACATTCATTGCTGTTTAGCCTGCAAACAGAACAGCTTATTCATAACTTGCCGAGTATTTGTTCTGGGGCTTCTGTTAGGAGTGGCTGCGAGTAACTGGCTCAGGAAGAGGCACTCCTTACCCACTGGTGTGCTGGATCTCTCACCCAGACTTCTGGGCAGCCTTGGCAAGCCCTACAATGGTTTTGAGAGGCAGAGCTGGGAGGGGAGTGCAGGGAGGGCTGCAGCTTAAACCATCCGGGGCAGAGGACAGGCAGCACTGGAGAGCAGGGGGAGCAGGAGGTTCAGTTACTACTGGCGAGACTCAGCACTCTCCAGCACATGGCACCTCACCAATGTACGAATTTATACGCTGGGTCCCAGAGAGTCTCAGATTTACCTCTTCCGTTTTTGTTACACTGACAAGGAGTGAGATCCTGCAGTTGGTTCGCAGATGTACATTCAGTAACAGGCAATCACTTTACTTGCATATCAACACTTCCCACATTTAGTGAAGAAGCACAAATTTGAAACCTGTTTCCCATCCCACCCCAGTCTATTAGTTATGAGGGTATTCGTTACAGCAGCTTAAATTGAGGGAAAATATGTTGCTTAGCTTGGAGAAAAACGGGTAGAATAATCAGTGTGATGCAACACTGGTTGAAACTTGATTTCACAACAGTCATTGCACCAAAAGGTTTAAGAAAGTGGTCTCAAGAGACAAACTTGAGAAAAGTAACCAAGTAAAAAACTTGTACCGCTTAATCTCTGGGAGTCACATGGATGTAAAATTGATAAGGAAAACACTTGGGTCTGGTTTGCCTGCAAAGCTGGTGAACAGAATGTATGCCACAGTCATAACAAACACTCCTAATGACTCCTAGCATTTATTGTTATGACCATCCTGCTTATTGCAACCATACCAACTTCCAACCTTTCTTAACGTGCTAGAAGCTACTTCACCATCAGCCATTTCTCAGAGAGCAGAATTACTTCACTGACAAGAACAAAACGCTGGAAGTCTGTTTAGTTAATTTTTGAGGACTTACAATTTTACTTACATATCATCGCATTTCAATACTTTGCTGCACAGTTCTTTGAAGTTCTGTCAAAGAACCTCAAAACCTTATGTTGGGCATCAAACTTCTGCTCTTGTGAAAACAACTGCCACTCCTTAAGCCACCTCAGGGTCTCTGAAAAAATAAATTAAATTAAAATTGAAGGTAAATTAAAATTGACCTTCTTTCTGTAACAATTGCCAGTGCATTCAGGGTTACTTGCAAACCTTTATTCATGAATTTGAACTCCTCAACCCTGCCTCAAGCAGCAGCTCGGGCTTGAAGTTCTGCTGTAAGCTTTCCAATGCTCCCTCAGGAGGTACACAGCAAAGAGCACTGCAAAATGTAGCATCTCAGTTACCTGACACTCCTGTTTCCTTGTCTGGACAGGAACACTTCACAAACGCCATCTAATTCCTACAATGACTCCACTATGGGATCAAGACACTGAATGTAAAAAGCCACTTCATCTTTATTTGCTTGGCAGAGGAGCAGCCCAGGGCTGGGCAAGAAACACCAGTATCAACCGTGCCAGTGTAGCTGCACACGCACCCTGTACTCCCTAGCATTTTCCAAAATAATTTAGAATTTGGCAGCTATGTTCTTCAAAGACCCCCCCCCTGTACCTGGCACGCTCCAGGCTGAGCAGCAGAACCAGAGGGAGAATTTTCCAGCAGTGACTGATTATCCACACACCCAGGAACTCCTGGAGTTGCAAGTGCAACGGAGAGGCCGGGAGAATCTCCTTCAGTGCTCTCACTGCCACCACAGCTCCCGTGCCAAGACGTGCAGGGGGAAATGAAGTCTGACACGGACCCAGGGGGAAGTGAGAGGCTTCTGGGGCAGAGAAGCAGAGGTGAGAGATGCAGGTTAGACACATGCCATGGAAAAGGAGGTGTAAGCAAAATGAGTACAACTGAATCAGGATAGTGAGAGGGAAGGAAGCATAGGTGCATGAAATCATACCAGGAGACACACAGAAGCATAAAAGCAAGAAAATGAAACTACAAGTGCACGTAAAATTGAGAAAATGTAGGCAATGTAGGTATACACAAATGTTGTGTCCTTTCTTCCGTTAAAAAGGGCAAACAAAAAAAAAGGACCTACAATCAAAAACCACGTTAAATTGTAAAATTAAATATTCAAAACTAGGAAAAGGTGAAGGCAGTATTGCTGGCTGCAGTATGGCTTACACTCTCCTAATTCACTGCCCCTTTCCAAATGCATAATGGAATTGATTTTTAAAAATATATATAAAAAAAAATCACATACCTTTCCTTTTCTATAGGTCCTTCCACCTCTTTCTGTATATTGGATGAGCCTGTTCAGAAGAACTGGCTGTCAGTGAAGTTTTACCCAGTTTCTTTCACCATTCACTGATAAAGTAAGGAGCTGTATCCAGAAAGGGGACTGGAGGACAAGTGAAAAGGTTCTTGTTCCCTTTACAAAGAAATCTGAATGAGGAAGTTGAGGGACCCTCTGGCCTTCCAGATTTTATGCTGTACCTGCACTTATCCAACACCACACGAACGCTGCAGCACAGTAAATTCTCAGTTGCCAAGCCACTGTGTCTCCCATTTTGCAAACAAGCAGCAAAACAGATCTTTTGTTCACTTTGCCTAGTTTTCTGCACTAATGGCATAATTAATTATCCATTAATGGAACTTAAATAGCAGTGACCCAATCTTTCCATTCATTTAAACTTTGTCCTTTGCTGTCCAGAACCTCAAATATGTAGGTGAACACCAGCCAACACCTGAGAGTAAAACTTCCTCATTCATTAATGATTTAAGTTTGTCCTGGAAAAGAAACATGTTTGTGTACAGAGGGATGGATATCATATCTAGATAGATACTTCTTTCCCCCATGTTTTTTTCCCCTCAGGAGGAACAAAAATGGAAGTAAGCATTCTCAGTGTTAATTAATCTTCCTGTGCTGAATAAAACTCAGTGGGGTTGCTACACAAAAAAGGTAAATCCTTAAAGAGCTGCTTTTGGCTCCTAGAAAGTCACATAAAGCACTCTGTGACCCACAGATGGCCTTTTTAGGTTAGAGTTCCACAGATCCACAGAAGTCTTGAGAAAGATAAAAAGGCTCACCGTGTATGAAGAACTGCTGTTTCAAACCCAATTTCATAGCAGATATTTGGGATAGCAAAAAGACCAAAGATGAACACCACAGTTTTATGTACAGTTCTTTTTCATCAAACAGCTCTCCTTCCCCTTTCCCAGGAAAGAAAAACAGATTCTATCTTCCTCAAAAAGACTTATGGAAATGTTTTGAGAATGCTTGAGAATTAAAAGTGATGAGCTTGGAAAAAAAAAACAAAACAAAACCAAAAACAAGTACAATTTCAAGTTGCTCCCCTTCACCTTATCAGAATCTTCTTAGTTTAACTCGTTAACTTTTAGTTTAACAAATTTGCTGAGAGGCATCTTTAAGTCACGAGCCATCCTCAATTCCTACCTGTTTCAGAGCTCTCTTTTGGCCAGCCTCTCAAAACTCAGGGGTTTTTTTTCAGCCCTCCTCCCTCTCTATTGGCACTTGCTTGGTTCTATCTTGCACAACTCCTGAAGCAATGAAGATGATGGGCCATCTGTAACACAGATACTGCTATTCAGTGACAAAGCACCAGAAACACACCAGAATGTGCATGATATTCTCCAAGGGAACAGTTCAGCAATAAAGACTTCAAGAAGATGCAGCTGTTTTCACTTTAAAAAAAAATTTAGAATAAAGCTCACTGCTAAATAAAGTCTTCCTCTCCTAACTAATTAGTACCTTCATTAACAAAAGGGTCCCGAGTCCCAAACAAAAAGTCAGGCCTTGAAAGGAAGGGTAGAATTTTCTTCTATGCTGAACAGCAGGGAAAACTCAGCTAACAACATTCCACTGAACTTGGTAAGATGGAAATTCATTGCTCAGCTTGAAGCACTCACAGAACACCATGCCTGATAGGCAGCTACTACCTTCTGTTACCTTACAAACATGTGATAATATAACTACTACCAGAATGATTTAACCTTGTGTTTTATGTGCTTTACTGTCACTTATCAAGACCTTTTCCTTTGTAGTATGTGCACAGAAGGCACACAGCAAAAGCAAATAGAATGCTTTTCTTAGAAACTGCCTCACTAAGGGGCTGGGGACACAACTTTCCAAAACTTTCCTTTCCTAAACAGGATCACAGATGGCCTATAAATACTATGTGGCCCTTCATACAGCCATAAATGCTAAAAAACACAGAATGTGATCAATATGTGTAATTTTCACAATTGATTTAACACACACCACACACAATAAAACTGCTTAACTTCTGAAAATTTACCAAGCTAATCCGTGCCCACCTTCATAACACAGATGAAGCAGTATCAACAAGCAATTAAACACTACTTTTTCCATGAGAATAAACTGCTACTACTACAACCATCAGCCAGGCTACAGCCACATTACTGCATGACAAAGAGACACACATTAACTACAGTTGGTACATTTTTCTTATTTATTCAAAAGCTAGTGGATGACAAAAAGGGTTAAAATGTTTTATACCACCTATTTATTACATGAACAAATACTTAATCCAAAGGGCCTCATTTTACAAGCCCCTCTGTCCAAAAACCACACACAAATTAGTTTTTATACACAAATGTTTATTTCTCAAATAAACTCCCCCTTTAAACACAAGGAATGAAATCTAAAACTTCAGAAAGATGGATCCAAAACGAAATCCCTCCAGTACATTGTAATCACTGTTTTGTTGGTCACTACTGGCTTTAACTGTTTAACATCAAAAAACAAGGACATATTTAAAAAATCATGCTACTGGATACCTAGCTCTGCCTCTGACCAGCCCTACGCTGATCTCCAAATTTTAAAATTTTACATCGTCAAATCCGAAGCATTAAATTGAACAACAGCTGTGCATTAAACACAAACAACTGAACGAGAAGATTATAAGATGTAATCAAGTTCATAACGAATATAGGTGTTCTTTTCATCATTATAGATCCTCGGATAGTGTGCTATCAGAGCATCCTGTGAGCCGATGTAGATCGAATTATAGATCTTCCAATAAACGTCTCTGACTTTTCTGGCAGGGTGAAACAAACCCTAGAAAACAGAATGGAACAGAATTTATTAATTAAAAGCTTAAGGTCCCAATGTCTTTCACTGAATTTAATCGAGCGTCACAAAATAAGCCCTTAATAACTGGGCAGAATGCAAAAGCTCCAGGAAAAGGACAGCTCTATAAAATGGAACATTCAAGCAGTACTTGCAAAAAATATACACTGTAAGAGACTTTTCTCACCTTCCTACTGATGTCAGAATCTTTATGCTGAGGTCCCCACTCTGAAATTTCTTATCTGCAAATACCTAAAAAATGCTGTCACATCTTCTCTACACTGATCTGCATTACACTAATCCTTGCTCCCCATCTGTCAGGTGAGTTTAGGTTCTGCAGCCAACACAGCAAGAACTGTTACGTGCAATTACACAGAAAAGGAACCTTCAGGTTTTACCAGCACAAACCAGGCAGTTCATCCTCTGCAAATGTGTATGAATCTAATAGCATAAATTCTAATCAAAGCACTGTTTTCTCATGCTTCACTCTTACAGTTTTAAATCTTACTGCTTTTCTTGGCTAACAACAAATTGTACTGATTTAATATTAAGCAAATACATTAATTTGTTTATTTATCTCACTGGTTACTTGTTCTCTTAGCCCTTACATGACTAATTTATTCCCCAGTCATTAGTTCACGTACTCAAAATTTGTAAGGTGTTTCCAATTTACAAATCAAAGTGCTGGGCTATTGCAGTCAATTTATATTCTAGGTCATCTGCTACTTCCACACAAGTTCTGCAATGTAATCAGTTATCTCACTATATTAAAATCACTGCTCGTTGCATATTTCAGTTATTCACACCCTTAGTACAGAATGTCATGTTTAAAGAAAACTTCAGGGAGACAAAAAGCCACAGTTCTAATTTGCTGGAAATCATCTCCAGTTGTCAGGCAAGGACTTCCCAGGAGACAAACAAGTCAACTGCTGTCTCTGCTATCCCGGCACACACAGGCACATACCTGTAAACAGTACTGCAACATCCTGCAGGGACCAATGGCCACCCTGAGGCCCTCCAGAGCCCCCATGACCGCCTGAATGACGTGAGGAGAGGTTTCAAACACGTTGGGCCACACGTAATTTAACAAATGATTGAGGGAATCTTCACAGCCGAACCCATAAACACCAAGAGACATGTGCTGCACCACGGCACTCGCTGTTTGTCTGTGCACAAGATCCCTGCAAAGAGAACAATGGGCTATTAATAAACTACACTTAGAAGCAACGTGGTTGGACAAGCACAGCATTTCTTTTCAATAACACTTTTTTAAAAAGCACTGATAATACCTTTATCCCTCACTTACTGACAGCAAGAGGCAGAGTACCAAAAATCAGTGAAGTGAAAAAAGATGGGGAATTTTCTGACAAATTAATCCACGCTAACTCCACAGCAAAAGCACCAGCAACATAAATTATGAAAAGCAATTTTAAATGTAAGAAATCTTGACTTAAGACACTTGCATAATTTTAATTTTCAAAAGTATTAATAAAATTGGAGCATACAATCTGAATTATTTGCAAAGAACAGCTTGGAAATTATGCTGGTTACTTAAAACCTTAAGCAAACGAGGATAATATGTTTACTTGCTATCATTAAGAACCAGCTATATGCTTAAAATAAGATTATGTCTAAGTACCATAGAAGAAGTGTACTCACCTGTCCATCAAAGCATCTTCAAGCAATGGTGTAACAGCATAAATGTAATCTTTTCCCATCTCTCCAATGTATTCAAACAGGAAAGAAAGAGATTTTAACACGCCATTCTGGACGTTCAGTTCTGGAACTCTGTATTCATTCATGAGTGCAGGCAGCACAGTGAAAGGTGAGCACGTCTCAGCCACAATAGCAATTGCTACCGTAGTACATACTCTGTTCTGCCTTTCCTGCACTTTCAGGTTATTTAGCAGTGTCGCCAATACATCGTGAGGTCTGAAAGAGACAACACGGGCATCCTTGTCAATAGATTCAGTGAGGATTTGGATCACGTAGGTTGAGTTTCAAACTGCAAGCGGCAGAGAAGCATGGCTCAGCCCTTAAAAAATGTTCAGAGAACTGGGAAACAACATAAACCACTAAATTCAAAACAGCTGAAGCAATTTATTTTCATAACCAACATCTTTTACTTTCTCTAGACTTAGGTTTTTCCCTGCCTTCTGTTCTGCCTTGTGTAAACTCTGGAGGGTAGCACAGCATCCCCCCACTATTAACTCTGATCCCACAGGCAATTACAAACTTGTAAAAAAACATACACATTGACAGGTTATGTCTGCATAGATGTTGTAGTTACAGTTGGTTGCTGTATCTACATTAAGTAATATGTCACTTAAAGTATATGCATAAAGATGGGAACTGTGCTTCATTCTATGATTTGCTGACTTGCAGTATCACCTTAGTGGCAAAAAATCCTTTGCAAATCAACAGAAGTATTGATTTGGGAAAATAAAAAACAAAATAAGAAAGATTGTTTAAAGAGTTTATGAAATAATACAAAGAGGGTCTGAATGCACATCACCAGTATCAAAAATTCATGAGACAAACAGCTTTTACTACCAAATTACACTTGAACCTTGCTAGTCTACACATTTTGTTCAGAAGTGCAGTATCCTATGTTAATGAAGAATAGGTGGCTGTATTCCTCTACAAAATGAGTAAAACCAAGTCTGCACGTCTAAAATGTAGAGAAGTTTGATTATTTCTCAGGAGAAAACTGTCAGTCATCACTGTGTTTGGTAACTGGGTGTAGAAGTGGGTAAGCATTAAACCAACTTACCCAATAGCTTTTGCAATATAACCAAAGGTGTTCACTGTGGCTCTTCTGATAGCTTTCTTGTGAGCTTTTAGTAATTCAAGCAGTTCAAAGCAGATCCTCATCCATTCTCTTGCAGAAACATACTCTGCACCTCTGAAAGACAACGAAGTGAGTTAGCTCTTCAGTGACGCCAGAATTTTTTAAATAAAACCACATAAACTGCAGCATCTATTCATTTGCTATCAACAGAGGGATACTGTTTAACCATTTTGTTAATTAGGTATCTGTTAACATTAGGCCTTCCCCAGTCTAGGGTGTACTCAAAATGTATTATATTGTGTGCATTCTAAGTTTGCATAAGTGGACAACATAATTCTTATGCAGTGTTTAATTACAATATGTTCAACGGACCACCTGCTAAATATCCCACCTCAAGCTTTATGTACAACTTCAGAGATATCAAGAGACCCGAGAATACCCAGATGTCAAATCCAATACTGGAGTTTTTGCTGCCCAGAAGGTCAGGTATTTCACCATTACTTAACTTACCTGTCTGCAATGCGCCCAACAAGATCAATGCAATTTTCCTGCACTTTCTCATGTCTGTTCTTCAAAATAGGTGTGAGACGTGGCAGCAGATCTTTGATGGGTGGCGTCATCTTGTGCATACCTGTTGAATTCCAAGAGGTACATTTAGTTTTATAATGCCTGTCCATTTTTCTCTTCAACAGCCATGTAACGACACAAAAACATACCTATAACGTTCACAATAGCCTTAAGCGCTCCGAGAATGCTGCCCAGTACTTCAGGATATTCTTCACCCAGGTACTCATACAAAACAACACCCAAGTGTCCCATCAGTTTTTCCTGCAACCAAGTAAAAAGATTTTAGAAGTTAATTCTCTCCCCTCTCGTTACTATGCAATGCTAGAGCAAATTTTGTAGAAGTCCATACAATACCTCTTGACAAGTCTTCATGACCACTGCAGTACGAGAGATGAGGTCAGCAGCCTGCTGCCTGACTTTAGCTGATTTGTTGTTCAGACGCCACAGAACTGTACCACAGATCTGTGGCAAGTAGGGTTTAACTCTTTTGCCAAGAGCATTAACCACTGTGCCAAAACCATTCAGCATCACAGAATCCTGAGTGCAAAAACAACAAAGGAAAATCAGACCAATAGTAACACGACATTTGAACTCAAGTTGACACTATCTAAAATTGCCACTAGAATGCTAACACTCCAAAGACTGCTTCTGGACTTCACTGATTAGAGCAGCGACATCTAAAAAGTGATTCTAAAAAAAAATCTACCTTAGAAGCATACATTTCTGTATTGCTAACAATACAGAACTGGCTTACAACAGAAGTAAACCACACACTGCACACCCTTGGCCATACCTCTGTTGTCTGTTCCTGAAAGGCGTACAAGATACCATCAATCAGTTGTTCTTCCAGTTTATGATCGATGTCTGCTGCCCCCAGATTTCCCATTATCTTCTCAATCGTTTCCATGACCATTTTTCTGTACTGCTCAGCCTCATCTTTCAGATCATCCACAATTCTAGAAATAATTTCTGCTGCTCCCACTTTGTTTGCCAGCTCCACGGTTGTATCAACCAACTGAAATACACAAATGCTAGGTAAGCATGGATTGTTAAAAATCTACTTTCTCCACTTGGAAAATAATTTCCCTTGTCTGAAGAGAAACAGCATCATGCACATGAAGTCCACTACAAACAACTGCTTTTACCTTTGAAAATCATCCATTGTTTTTAACACAAATGGGGCAACCTACCCTACCTTACAACTGAGGTAGACTCATATACACAGATGTAAAATGTCTTGATAAACTCTTAAGAGCCTGCGAGCCTTCTTTGCTACACAATTTCTAAATCACTAGCACAAACAAAATTCAGTATTTAGCCTGAATGAACATTCTAATATGACTTTTATTCTACTGAAAATAATTTCCCAACTAAAAAAAAAAAAAAAAAAAACAGAATACCTGTCTGTAATTCCTTCTGTCCAATGCCATTCTGTGCTGCCAGAAGTGTTTGAAGAAAGGTGGCAAGATTTCTGTTTTAATGTAGTTTGCTTCAACACCATCCGTACCACAACACTGCTTTACCACCTAGCAGGTAACAAAAATCCAACAATTTTAATTCTCTAAGGTGTGGGTTTTGAGGTGGGAGTTTTTTTTATTTGGTTGGTTTGGGGTTGGGGGTTTTTTGTTTATTTTCAAGAAAAGGAAATACATATACAATCAATATTAATGCTAAACTATCATGTTGACATACCTTCAACACAATTTTTTTCATCTCTTCATCAGGAGACTGGAACTCTCTGATAAGGATTAACATGACTTCTCTGGTATAGTAGTTTGCATACTCAGCATCCATGAGTGGAATCAGGTAACCAATAGCCTTCAAAAAGGCAGCCAAACCCTATTAAAAGGCAGAAATACGTCTCTAATTAGTTACAGAAGGTACACACCCATTTCAGTTCAAACTACAGAGAGTATTTTAGAGATACCTTTCCTCTGTGTTGACGAATACCCTTCCACAAAGGCTTCAGCACAGAATCAAATGACTCGATGCCGTAGGGAGTAGCTGCCTCAGCCAAAGCAGCGATGGCCAAAGCGCTGATGGTGCGAACTTTCTGCTGCTCATCCACCAGCCCTGCAAGACAGTAGTGCTTAGTGGCACTTCTCGTACTTGTTGTGTCTCGAGTTCAAAACAGCAAAAATAGAGGGGCAGTTAAGGAGGAATTAATTTATTTTCAGGAACACTGAACCACTATTCCTCTTTCAGAGTCAGCTGCAACGCTTCTCAGTATCAGAAGAGCAAAACCAGGACCTTATTGTAACTGTGCCTAACTGAGGGTATGAAAAATTTTCCAGACATAAAGCGAGTACGAAAAATTGGGCCTGGAAAAGCAGAACTTACCATGTTCAATGATTTCAACCAAGCTCCTGAGATGAGGCAAGATAGCACAACCCATAAGAATAGCAATCTGCTGCACAATCTTGATGCCAGTGTGCCTAGCCTGCCAGGATTTTTTGCTTTTACAGACAGCTTTCAAGAAGGGTAACAGAGAAGGAATGCCCAGAGCAGAGGCAACAACAGCAAAGGCTCGAGCTGTTGTGTTTCGGACATATTCATCCATGTTATCAATATCAGGTCGCATTGTGGAGATCATTGTGGCCAAACCAGCAGCCTGAAGGAAAAAACAGGAAACATACCAATTGGATTTATGAACAGCACAGTTAATTCTTCTGCCACACCTATAAACATGCAGCTATATGTAAGCTAACTCAGCGCTTTGATCAAGGATGGAATTTTACCTTAGCCAAGTTGGAAATAATTTCTCTGCCTTCCACTCTAGCATAGTAGTCTTCATCAATCAGCAGTGGTTCAATGACGACAAGGATCTGAAAAGATGAACAAATTAATACTGCCCTTCATTAAAACTTTTAATAGTATTTCTGGCCCTACTAGAGTCCATGAAACGAAGATGATTCCATGGATCCAAGCTTAAAATTTTATTAAGATTAGAAAAAAAAATAAATCTATGCTGTTTTTACAGTTTTTTGTTTCTAAAGGACCTGGTCCAGAGATACTACCTAGATCAGGTAAGATTACCTTCCCACCTCCAATATGATGCATGATATATATATCATATTTACATCATGCCTTAATACTATAAAGCTTACACTTCAAACTTAAAAGTTTGGCTCAAGAAATATGAAAGCCAATTATGCTAAAAAAACACGGTATCATCCTCTTCCAATATGCACATAAAATGCAGAAAAGGCAAATCAGAGATGAAATACTGAACTGCAGCAGACCTTGTGTACATATGGTCGGACCAAGTCATCCAATTTGTAAAGAATTCTGTCGATGACTTTGACAAGTAAGTGACGCTCCTGATCTTCAAGTGTTGGTGACATCAGCAGAGGCAGAATCTGATTGAACAACGGCCCTGCTCCAAATTCCCGAGCTTTATCAGTGATTTGTCGCAACGCAGCCTAAACAAAGCCAAAAAGCCCACCAGTTAAACCAAGGAAACAACAGTGAACAACTATAAAACAGATACTAACCAAGTTAAAATGTAACTGACTGTAACCACAGGCTTAAAAATACTTACCCCTACCACTAAAGCTCTACTTCAAAAAAATTTATGCTGATCTGTTTAAAAACAAATGTGTGATGACAAACATCGTGTGGTTGGCTCCTAGGTGTTCAGTTTTCAAGAAAAGCTTCTGGTCTAATATTGACTCCATCCGAAAATCAGCTTCACAGCGCTTACTTGCATCTAGGCAAGTTGGTGCTACGGTAAATGGAGAACAAACCTGTGCAGAAGAGACTGCTACTGTGTTGCCTCATGTTTAAGGTCAAAACTTAACTAAGCTATACTTGTAACTAAAGAGTAGGAAGTAAAATCCAGAAAATTACAAAGCCCTGTCAGCAAAAACAACTATATAGTTTTGTATAATTGTAAAAAAAAAATTATAAGCCATAAAACATTTTGTGACTGACATTACTATAGAAAGAGCAACAATACTAGACTACATTGAATGACAAACAAAAAGCTACAGAGATATAGAAGAGGAAAAAAGCACTAAACAGATGTGCTGTTTTGGCTGGGACAGAGTTAATTCTCCTCATAGTTGCTCAGGATGAGGCTGTGGTTTGGATCTGTGCTACAAACAGTGCTGATAACACAGGATGTTTAATCACTGCTGAGCAGGGTTTACACTGAGTCAAGGTCTTTTCTGTTCCTCATCCCACCCCACCAGCGAGGGGGCTGAGGGGCACAAGAAGCTGGGAGGGGACACAGCCAGGACAGCTGACCCCAGCTGACCACAGGGATATTCCACACCATATGGCATCACGCTCAGCATAGAAACCAGGGGAAAGCTGGCCAAGGGTCACTGCTCAGGGACTGGCTGGGCACCAGTTGGTGATAAACAACTGTTTTCCATTTGCAGCACTTGTTTTCCTGGGGGTTATTTCTCTCTCTTTTTTTTTTTTTTTATTATTTTCCTTTACTAATATTATTATTATTGTTGTTATTATTATTATTAAATTGTTCTCATCTCAACCCACAGGTCTTTTCACTATTACTCTTCTGATTCTCTCATCCATCCCATGGGCGTGAGGTGGGGGCAAGCAAGCAGCTGTGTGGGGCTTATTTGGCAGCTGGTGTTAAACCACAATAGATATCAAAGTTTAGAAGATTATCTTAAAGAGAACCTCATGGACAACAGAAG